CGTAGTTTCACGGCGCGCGAGCAACTATGCGGGCCACCGCGTTGCACTCGAGGAATCCGAATGGGACCGCGCGTGTCCCTCGATTTCACGCGTCGGCGAGCACGGGACATCGCGACGAAAAAATTTAATTACAATTCCGGCAGAGGAGGCCGGGGTAAAGAACGACGCGAGATCGCGAACAAAGCCCCCGCCGTTCCAGGAGGAGGGGATAATCGAGCGGACTCTTTGAGCCACGCCAAATCGGATTAATTTGCGTCATTAGCTCGCTTATCGGCCGATGAATTTTATTAAGCCCTAACAATCTCGAAGGAGCTCCAACAATTTCGAACCAACGAAGCGACACAGGAGTCAACTTTTTAACCGGGGGGGAAATATCGATTTCTTGAGGCAGTTTATGTTAGTACGAGTTTAGTCACCGTTTTGACCCGCATAGTCGAATATGGCAGACGTTCCTTACTCAAACACTCGGCACTGCCGTTACGATTGTTTTCCTTGTCGCGTGATGTTTGCACAGTCTAATCGAAAAATCATAAGCACCCTTCCGGCGCTGCTACTGTCAGCCGTTTCACGGAAGGGTTGCCTATCGGGGTCACGCGACGCGCTGGAAAAACAGATAGCACACCCTCTACAGCCTTTGTTTATTCGATGTTTCGGATGCAGCTTTCCACTGCTGTGATTAGCGCAATCTTTTCATTAATTTATGCTGATTTCTGGGGTGATCATTTGTGAAATTATAAAATAACAATACATTTTTTGTATTGTTTCATTAAGTGCACTTACTGTTTAATTTTTGAAAAATCAGAAAAATACTGAGGCATCAACTAATATGTACAAGATGACTTAACGAGATGTATTTTGACAAAAATTTGTTAATATACGCAAGCCTTAAAATTGTAAAAACTGTAAAACCCCATGTACAGTATAATTATAACAAAATACAATTGAGCAATATATGTGATCCTTAAAATTGTAAAAATTACAGAACCCCATGTAGAGTGTAATTGTAACAAAATAAAATTGAGTAATATTATATGTGATCCTTAAAATTGTAAAAATTACAGAACCCCATGTAGAGTGTAATTGTAACAAAATAAAATTGAGTAACATATGTGACCCGTGGAATTACAACGCGTGGAATTCTAACGCGTGGAACTACGACGTGTGGAACTACGACGCGTGGAATTAATAACGCGTGGAACAGCGACGCGTGGAATTACAACGCGTGGAATTATGACGCGTGGAACTACAACGCGTGGAATTACAACGCGTGAAACTACGACGTGTGGAACTACGACGCGTGGAATTAATAACGCGTGGAACTGCGACGCATGAAATTACAACGCGTGGAACTGCGACGCGTGGAATTACAACGCGTGGAATTAGGACGCGTGGAATTAATAACGCGTGGAACTACGACGCAGACCCGTGGAATTACAACGCGTGGAATTCCAACGCGTGAAACTACGACGTGTGGAACTACGACGCGTGGAATTAATGACGCGTGGAACTGCGACGCATGGAATTACAACGCGTGGAATTACAATGCGTAGAATTATGACGCGTTGAACTACCACGCGTGGAACCATGACGCGTGGAATTACAACGCGTGGAATTACAACGCGTAGAATTATGACGCGTGGAACTACCACGCGTGGAATTACAGCGCGTGGAATTACAACGCATGGAACTACCCCGCGTGGAATTAATAACGCGTGGAACTATGACGCGTGGAATTACAACGCGTGGAATTACAACGAATGGAATTATGACGCGTGGAATTACAACGGATGGAATTATCACGCGTGGAACTACGACGCGTGGAATTACGACGCGTGGAATTACGTCGAATTAATAACAGATGTCGCTAATATTTTTCCTTAAATTTAAAAACTTCCGACATACTATGTACTCTCTGTACGATCTTATTAACGAAGCAGACACCCGGTTACAAGAAGCAAAACAATTTATCAGAAGGTAGACCGATTTCTTGTTTTGTTCCGCGGCAAACCGCTGTAACAGGGCCCCATTAATGACGATCGATTAGCATACGATTAATATGCCGTCGACGATCGAAGGGATACCGCGAATAATTAAATCCTCGAAATACATTATTGCCGACGCGATGGCACGAAAGCCTCATCGTGAAAGAAACGCGAAAACCTCGACGCTCGGCATACATAATTTCCGTCCTTCTTTTTCACCTTTATCTGGCCGGTGTTTTGCCGTGGGATCGGCATGCTGGATCGAATCATTTGAATCTTTAATTTTGACAAAGAATTCTGTCGTTCGAGTAAATAACAACAGATTTTGATCATAAATTCTCGAGCTAGACGAATTGATCGCAGGATTTAATTTGATGGCCGATTGATTGGATAATCAAATGCCGTCTGCTGGTGACGGGATGATGCGTTACGGTGAAATGGACAGTTGACAAACTTGTGAACTTTAAACTTCTTTCAGTCGGGAATTGATCAATGGAACAATTGACAGCTGGATAATCTGTATTAAATGTTCACTTCAGTTCATTTATTCCTAGTTAACTTTGTTACGGTTGAGAAGTTTTTTATTATTTAAACATTATTTTGGTAGGAATAGTTCATTTCTGAATGGGGTGACATTTCTTGACAAATTCATTCTGACAAGAAGTATCATATATTTAAAAAAATGACACTTTAATAATTTTTATAATTTAGAGTACGATTAGGGAGAGAAATTAACAATTCTTCCTTTGGTTCTGAGTGTTCCTAAAGTCATCAGAAGATTCATACTTGAAAAATCTTAGAAAATGACACTTTACTAATTTTTATAAATTAGAGTACGATTAGAGAGAGAAATTAACAATTTTTCCTTTGGTTCTGAGTATTCCTAAAGTCATCAGAAGATTCATACTTGAAAAGTCTTAGAAAATGACACTTTAATAATTTTTATAAATTAAAGTACGATTAGAGAAAGAAATTAACAATTCTTCCTTTGGTTCTGAGTGTTCCTAAAGTCATCAGAAGATTCATACTTAAAAAATATTAGGAAATGACACTTTAATAATTTTTATAAATTAGAGTACGATTAGAGAGAGAAATTAACAATTCTTTCTTTGGTTCTGACTCTTCCTAAAGTCATCAGAAGATACTTGAAAATATCTCCAACTCGCACACCATTCAAAACATATAAACAAAAATACCTAAAATCTAACTTGTGAATAGAAATTTGATCAAACGAAGTCCATTGTCTCAATAAACACAAAAAGAATAAATCTCGTTTATAAAATAGTAGAAACCAGTTTCCAGTCGAGTCACTATCTCCGTTGAGAATCACTGTTTGTACCTGTGTTGGCCGTAGAACGGCTGATGTCAAGATAATTAGGGACTGTAGAGAACCAGATTTCCCAGCTCGTAACCTGGTCTAAATCTGCGGTCTATGGACAGCTAAACGGTCTCGCGTTATACGCGTACGTAGATGCATCGATTTACCAGTGACACGGGTCATCAGAGTTTCCAGCGAATCTCCAGGGGTTGCTTTAACTCGCAACGTTCTTCCGTGTCTGATTGCTCCCCTGTTGCTGGATCGTTTTAATCGACTCGAGACGTTCGATAACTCAATTTCTAACTTTCCATAATTTATTTTACGCTAAATTTTAATTTGTTATTATTACACTATGGTGTTCTATCATTTTTTAAGGGATGACGTATATTACCAAATTTTATTTTGTTACAATTACACTCTACATGGGGTTCTATAATTTTTACATTGACAGATCTCTCCCTATTATCGAAACTTCATACTTGAACTACCCTTAAATACCTTAAATCCTAACCTTAAAAATGAGAATCCAAAAATTATAGTACTAGTGTTCTCAAAACTTGCAAATCAGATTACATAAAGATATGTCTTGAAACATATCTTTAATACAGATTAGCAGTTGCTATTAAACGTGTCAAATAGCGAACACAATTTGTACTCATGAAGTTAAAAACGAAGAGTCCAATGTTTAATAATTCCTGAGCATCACGAACGTACAAAGTGCATGCATTCGCGAATTATGGATACTATCACGTTGTCCATCGCGTTATCATCGATAAAACCCGAAGTCCCGCGCCCAGGATACCTGACGTTTTATTCGAGCCGTGTTGTAACGCGTTTTACTGCGGCCCGTTGCGTTTTTATCGCTCTTCAGGCCACCGTCGCCACGAGGAAATGCAAAACTATTAAACCGACGTTCATGCCGCGCGGAAACCCACCGCGAGGAAATATGCGGCAAGCTTAACGACCGCTGTTCGATTCTCTTTCCACGCATCGACGTTCGACCGGGAGCAATTCCGTTTAAATTAACGCTTCTTGCCTCGAGAGCCTGCTCGAATCAACGTTCGGTTACGTTTCCATTCACCTTGCAAAAACAAGCGCTTGTCGTCGCCGGAAACGAGAGAAACAATAAACGCGATCGTCCGATTATTGATTCGATACGACAGGATGTCTGCAACGTCCACTTCGATCGGACAACGCTTTTACGCTGGCGTTCGCTGATATTTATTTTATCGCGATTATTACCGATTCGATGTCTCATGACGTTTTATTTTCAAATTATTGCTGAAATAGTGTTGCAAGTTTTTTCTTGAAACAAAATTAAAATTAGCAGATCAATATTACAGTAAAGATATTGGTACATTAATTACATGTGCATCATGCAATTACATATGCATAAGAGTCTTGATATATTGCATAATTTTTTCAGTCAGTGTTCAAAAATATTTTTTAAAATTTAGTAGAAGTTCTTTCGCTTGGAATGGAAAGGTATATACTCTTTTACTATGGGACTAAAAATCCGACATTCTTTCGTCAGGTTATTATGCATCGCTGAACAATGAACATAAATTTCTCCCTCATTTTAAAGAGTTGCACACTATGGTCTCTCAAGATAATTATATTTGATGTATTGCATAAACATACGAAGTTTGAACGAAATCAACGTTGCAGAGATGACAAAAGAGAATAGCAAAAGTACTCACAGTTTTTCGGCGAGAAGCATGGTGGCCAGGTCTCCAGGAATCTGCAGCAGTCCCCGATGCGAGCAGTCGACCTCCTGTCCGGTACACGTGCACAACCAAGGGCATCTCGCAGTGTTCATGTCGTCCATAGTTCCCGACAAACTTCCGAAACCAAAGCCACCGAGGGCGGTACCATGAGAGGCGCCACCGCCCAGCACGGACAGTATCAGCAGTAGTCCCCAGGCGCAGACCACGGAACCGCAGCTGACGCCGAGTAAACGCAGGGACCAGGCGGGCGTCATGGCACGCGCCATCGCCAACACCTTCCGGTTAATGTCCTTCACCGCGCGATTAGGTCCCTCGAGGATTTTGGCGATGCTGCCTACGCGGCTCTTGGGCAGAATATTGTTCGGGTCGTACAGGCTGAAGCAGGGAGTCTCGCCGTTGGCTACGCGGGCCTCGATGCCCGGGTAAGCGTAGTTGGGCGCCGGTTCGAGGAACGAGGATATCTCGAGTCCCTCCGCGGGCGGGCAGCCCAGTATCCTGACGGGCTCGAGGATGGGGTCCTGTTCCAACCTTATAACGGCGCACTCGAACTCGTTCGCCGTCAAATTTCTCGGATCCTGGCTGCGTCGTTCCGTGGCTTTTCCTCGCGGACGGTCCCTCCGTCGACCATGAACCCGACACGATCGATTGGAATTCCTCCGCGTGCTGTCCGCGTGATGCCTCGAGACGCCGGCTCTGTGTCTGCCGTGCGTCGGACACTGTCCTCCTCGCCTGTCGAACGTCTCCTCGACGTCAGCCGACGTTTTTCTCGGCCGTTTCGAGCGGACCTCCGAGCTGCCGTCCGCTATCGGCTGCAGATCCAACGCGGCGCTGGGCTCTTCACGCTGCTGCCGCCACTGCTGGACCAACACCGGCGTGCGATTCAACGCCACACCGCACTCGATCCTCAACGCCTCGCAGGCTTTCGATTCGTCCACCTTGAGCGGATCTTGTACTGCATCCGAGTGCGCTCGACCTGGACCACCGCACGCGGTACCGAGGTCCTTCGACGCTTCGACCGTCACGTTCGCAGAGTCGATCCGCGAATCCACTGACGATGGCTGCTCGGGAGCTAGACCATCCAGCAGGCCCTTTTGGGGCCCGTGTTCGCGGCCCCCTTCTCCCTCCACACGCCCCTCCAACGAGCTGTTGGACACCACTAACGGCACCACCCGTTCCTGCGCATCCTGGGGTACCGCTCTCACTGACTTTATCTTGACGCTGGTCTGGGCCCTAGTGACTACCGTACCCGACCGGGTACGTC